AACCCAAACGTCAACAGTTACAGTTAATACACCAAATTCACCAGTAACTAGTGGAACTCAAACGTCAACAGTTACAGTTAATACACCACCTTCACCAGTAACCAAAACATTAACATTTAAACAACCATCACCAACAACAGCTAGTACATCATTTCAAACTGCAACAAGTGGTGGTGCATTAACATCTGTAGCAATAAGTAAAATTCCAACTGCAAAATCTGTCCCTCACACTTCAACAGTTACAAGTACAACACCATATATTAAAGTACAAAGTGGTACATCTAGCCTTTCAGCTTCCTCACCAACCACTGTACCGACCCCATTCATGATATTACCAAATGGATTAGTTAATCCTATTGGACAGGCTATGTTAGGTGGCTCCAATCTAGGGACAGGATCACCAAGTAAGTTGTTTGTTATGTAATGATAAAATTTATAATTTTAGACAATAATTGAATGGTTATAAAATGTACTTTTATATTTAATGGGGTTGTGAAGAGGTAAAGGCTTTTATGTGTATCGGGGACACTGATAGCGTCTGACACACATGAAAAGTTTAGAAAACCTCTTTACAATAACTTTAAGTCTATTTCAGACTACTGTAAATCTAGGCTAAAAGCAGTTGTTATTTCGTGGCAAGCAACGCTAGGGTAAAAGAAAAAACACTCTTGTTGCATTAGCCTACGAATCTGGATTGGGACTAAGTGAATATGGTTGACAAGGTGTTACCTTGATATCATGTGCTTAGTTAAATTGGTCAAGTGGGATGTGGATTTCAGTCAACTTTCTTCATTTTTCTTGTCAACTCTGGAATAATTTGATAAACAATCCAATAAAGATTAATACCAAGAGGTTTGGCAAAAGACTAGTTGGTGAACAGGAAACTTGAGGCCTTTGTCAGATACATCCCTTGGTTCTTTAACTGAAATTCCATGTGTATGTACATCTTTCAGCCACTAAGTCAGATTTGCTTAAAATCTTAACGGGAAATTCACTACCAACGATAATGACGGTAACAGAGCCTTTTACCAACACCAAAATCCCATCTAAGCTTTTACAGAGTCTTCTCAGTACTTCTACAGTTAATCCGATTGTAGTCATCTAAAGTAAGTCCTTTTCAAATTTACAAAAACTTATTTAAAGAAAGTATATTTTGTATTCGGTCAGCTATCAAGTATATGTACATAATTTCACTCGAGAAATGTCAAATTCAAAGTGTAGAGTAAAATAATGAAAAACTTTTTTCATTAGTAATTAGATTGTTGGAGTCCAGCACATTTTGGTACAATTAATCCTTTTGTTTTTTCAGACACTAATAGAGTTGTATAAAAGGTGCCAGCAATGACTAAAATTGAGAAAATTGTTTTGAATCTTTTTTGAATTAATAAGATAAGTTTATCTGATACTGGAGTTAATTTTAACAATTTTGTCGATCTTAGGGTGGCTATTTTCATTTCATTTTAAAAAAAAATAGTTTAGTTGAGGGCTTCAAATTACAAAAAAAACGACATACAAATGTAATAAATAAATATACAGTCGAGTAACCTAATTTCGTGGAAACCTATTATTCGTGGATTTCCGGAAAGGATTAATAATTTACATGAGCGACCTTGCGCGACCTTGCGCGACCTCCGCATTAGTTTGTTTTAATAAACATGGGTTTTCTGTACAATATCAGCTTGTAGAATGAATCCAGTAGTTTCAAGCAAGGTAAAATATATTAATGTATACTTTGACAAATACAAAATGGCGGATTTCACTTATTACGAAACGTCACCATTTTTTATCGGCCGAATTTCCTTATAATCCCTAGCCGTAATCGGAATTCCAAGTGTCGTCTGCTAGAATGTAGTCCAACGAATGAAGTCACGTGATCAACTAGCGGATTCCGTGTCACCAGAAAATTTCTATGGAACACAAAGTGGACCAAATTCTTATGTTGTTTCAGTGACTTTTAGCAATAAATCACGCTACGTATCTTATTTTGTCACTCACTATTTTTTTTTTTAAATCGTGGTTCTTTGAAGGAATTGTCACTAGTTATAATGAATTGATATTAAAGATAAATACTAAGAGAAGTTAATTATACCACCCGGTATCCATACAATGTGTTTTTCTAGACTTATTTATAGTTCAAACATTGTACACGAAAATAGGTGAGGCATTCTGCCGCCGTTGCCGAGTTGGTTGCTCATGAAATATGGGTCAAAGTGAAGAATTCATAAAGAAAATCGAAATAAAAGTTTAATTATTTTATAGAATATCTGAGGAAACATCTAAAAAATTTCGTTTTTTTAACTTTGACGAAATTCGGTGTTGAATCCTTATATCCACGAAAATAGGTTACACCACTGTATATATAAAGGAATTGTATTGTATTGTATTGTTTTGTAGTTTTGTAAGAAAAATATTTTTTTGTAACGAGTTGCCTCCCATTTTATGAGAATTCAATGACTGTGTTTTCATTACTTGGAAAACAATTAATCAAGCTACGAACACCTGAACATATAGGATAGGACGATGTGACATATGATACAAGTTCAATTGTGGTGACAATTTAAAATCTGATTCAAAAGCGATTGTTATTTAAGGAGAATAAATTTCAATTTTTCGACCCTGGTTATGTTATAGTGAAAAAATCATCATCGACGCCGTGGTTGTGATGTAATGATAAACTACCGTAAAAATTGTCTGTTTATTCATTTAATAGCATGGAATTGGGGCCATGATGACTCTACGATATTCCAAAATGCGGACAATTGTGGAGAGATTTGCCATTATCTCCAAGATAACAAGTCACTCAGGCTTCTCTTAAACCTCACTGGAATATGTGGTTAAACGTAAAATAACAGTCTTGCTACAGTGTGATGATAAGAGTAAATTTTCCAAGAACAAGTCAATTACTCGATTGAACAACTAATGTCCTATTTTATCTAGTATTTATTTAGTTCCAAGTTATTGTCCGAAGCTAATCACTGTCCAATTCCCTTTTAATCACAATATTATTGACCAGCATCATCTCCTCCTTTTACCATCTTACTAGCAATTATAGGTCAGCCATAGGGTCAATAAAGACTAGTTTAAGACAATCAAGCAGATCACGAGTCACATGGGCACTTATCGCCAGGTTGCGGTAAATGACGTGGGAGAGATTGTGGATTTATATGGGTGGAAATTCAGTATTATTGAATTGCAAATAGGGCTTAACTGCTAGTAGAATTAAAAAGGAATTTCATGTAATGAAGTCACAGAAAAAATTAGATTCGGACATCCAGCTCACATGATAAACTAGTCATAGTAGAAAGACGTGTGCTTCGTCCGATGTTACATCAAAAAATACGACACCCTCCTTAATCCAATAAATTTCACAGGCCAATTTGGGTGTCGGATTACACAGGGCGCACTGTATGCGCAATTACCTTAGGTTTGTTGTAATCTTTCTGCTTTTTCTCTGAAAGATGAAAAAAAATGTTGGTTAAGATGCAGATATACTTTGGAGTCTTGTTGTGGGAAATGAGCATCTAATGACCTTGTTATAACGTACAGATGGCCAGTAATGAAGACACGAGCCTGGGGTTAAACACAGGAGATTAATTTGTTAATTAGCAACTTGAGATTAGCTATAATTAGTTATCAACCTTGTCATCTTGGTTAAGTGATAAGCAATCACTGATTAAGTGTTTTCAGGGTGTAAATAAGAATTATATTGTCCCATTTCACTAAATGTACAGAGTACGACTACGTTAACAGAAAAAAAACTTATGAAGTGAGTTGTCATTTACATGAACAAATTGGCTTGATATTGCATTTCCTACCTATTATCACTTTATCCAAAAAAATCCCAACCTTGGACATAGTATGCAGATCCTTTTATACTGTTGCAAGTATAACAAAGTGACCATTACGCGTAACTGTTTGACGAATCATTAGAATTTCGTAAAATGATCGATCTTGAATACCCTTCTTTACAAGGGACAAGCAATTTTATCATGGAATGTATGCATTAACTATATTCACCATGAATTTTACAGTTGATTACCAACCATCGTGTATCAATTAAGATCAATCATTTTATTGTCTCTGACAAAATGGTCCATTTTCTGCTTATTTGAACTAAGATTAGGCGGCTTATTTCGGGTGAACGCTTCTCAAGAATGATATCTTTAATAGACGTATCTGGAATAGATAATGATATATAATTTAAACGATGAAAATAGCCAACTTTAAAAAGAAGTCCCACGAATATAACATAAACATTGCCATTAAAGGCATAACTGCACACCACACTCATGGGGGTAGTCTTTTCGTGCTCCATTGTAAATGATCCATGGGTTGGTTGTACCTCTTAAAGTAATGCCTTCTACAGAGAAAGTGTTTAGGTGATATTTTATTGAATTGTCAAAAGAAAAAAGTTGCTCGCTTGGTATTAAATATAACTATGGGGTAAAGACTGTCAATATCTCATGCAAGAAAACCCACAGTGTGATATCAATTTATTCAGATTTATCAAATTTGCGATTTCTATACACATATTTGTATTTCTTTGAAGAGTTAGGCATGACCAATCACAGAAAAAAGACTCCTGTAATGGCACTCTGCCGAAGTCTTCAAGCATGTAAAAATCTGCTCTTTAGTTTGTTGATATTTGATTGTTTAAGAAAGAAATGTTTCATCAGATATAACATCTTCACAAAGTCAAGCTATAACGAACTTCTTACTTATACCTCGAACACAATAGCCAATTTTCTTGTATCGTGGACGTTTGTAAATGAAGCAATTTGATTGGACTGTACGCTAGAGAATACAGCCAATCACAGGTCCCAACAGAATGTCTGTGAACACAAAGTTATAATGTTTACAGGCTTTCTATCGAGGGCCTTGATTGGCTGTATTTACAATGTGTACAATCCAATCAAATCGCAGCATATGTATAAGTAGAAAGATTTGACATTGTGAAGAGTCAATCCAACTACCAACTACTACGACTACCAACAACTACCTAGTTTGCGATATCAGCATCCGCTGGAAGCGAACGTTAACTTGTCATCTACCTACCTACCATTGTGAAGATGAAGATATAATCAGTGTTAAATTTAAAATTTATTCTACTTTGACTGCCAAAATCGCGTTAGATGCATTAATTATCCACCTTCCTTGCGGAGTAGGAGGACTCCCTGACTCTCCACCGCAACTAGGACGGTCCAAAAGGGGAGCCGAGGTGCTCGGATGCCCCCACTCCCAGTCAATGAAATCCTGGCTACACCACAGAATATAATAGTTAGAGTTGAAGTGTCTTTCATACCAGGTTTCAACAATATGTTACCTATTATACAGATAAGCTTAACCATGTTTACGTCATAATCCCAGCAAGATATTTAGAAACTATGACCTCATTTTAAATTAAGTATAAGATTGTAAACACATATTCCAGATAAAGTTATTTAAAAATGTTGATCGAGTTTGGATATTGACATTTTATCTCAGGAAATTGCAGGGCTTCTTTTCTAGTCTAATGATTTCATAATTTGTCTGCTTATATTCTGGGCTTTTATTTTTACACTAAACTTTGTTGTCAGGTGGCTTATTTTGCCTCACGATTTATCTTTACATTGATACATTACAAATTCGTAGGCAAAAAACAGTTTGATGTCTGGATGTGCAAAAATACAAATATACAAATCTTTCGGAAGATAAGGTTTTCACTTCTAATATTTTTAAGAAACACGACTCAAAAACCCAAATTAATGGTTTTCATTCTTTTTGTTCTAAATTACAAACACGATTCAAAATCACAATACATCACGAAAAACACAATGCAATAAATCTTCAACTTATAATACGTATATTGTGCATTATAATGACACAATACAGATTGCTATATACTGTAGACCCCTTTTTACTAAATGTTTTCCACTGTAATATTTATTTAGAAACAAAATACAATGTTTATAATTTGTTTCTAATCATTACATACTTGGTAGTTTTTTACTGCCGGCGTTATTCCAGAAAATCTAACACCGTTTCATGTTTCTATGGGGTATTAACCACATGGCTGTCAAACTTTCTCGGTAACATTTCTCAGGTGGTTTAGCAGTAGGCATTCAGGAAGTTTGGTACTTAACATAGTAGTAAATATTGGAGTAAAGTTACTATTTCTATAAGACAATGACCTTTGTTAGGATTTGATTTCTGTTATCTATAGTTGATCTCATACACTAGAAATATTAAGATGATTTATCTCATATACTAGAAATATTAAGATGATTTAATTTCTCCTGGGATTAGGCTGATGTTGGAATATTTTGTTCAGGTAAGGCGATATACTTTTA